GGAAGGAAGGAAGGAAGGAAGGAAGGAAGGAAGGAAGGAAGGAAGGAAGGAAGGAAGGAAGGATCAGACCACAGTTTCTTGAAAGATAAGGTTTGATAGAAAGGCAACCCAAATTCTCTTGGCCATCTGTCAAGCTTCCAATGAGATGGAAAAAAAAAAGATAAATATTAAGGAGGAAACATTTATTTAATTGCATTGGACTCAGTCAGAGCTATAAAACTTCAAACCCAGATCTGGAATTCACCTTGGGAAAAACTTGTCACTAGAATTATCTCTATGACTGGCATCAGCAAGTAGCATGTCCTCTGCATTTTGGAGCAGCTTACTCTTATAAATAGCTACAAACTTAGAGGGCCCTGCACTAATATAACTTTGATGTTATAATGTATATAGAAAGGGAACCAGTTCTGTGTCTTCATTCTATGTGTCTGCTGAACAAAGAAGAGATAGGAAGATCAAGGCAGGCTAGGAAAGCTATTTTGGCTCATTGGCTGGACACCTTCTGAAGGGACATTTGATCTTTCGTGCTTGGGCTCCAGTTGCTTTTCCTCCCCAAAGGCTCCCACTGATAACATGTGGATCTGCAGACTTTCACTGATCATGCTTGTTTCATTAGAAAAAATGAAAGTCAGGCAAAAAGCTCCACTTCAGAGCACTTGCCAGGGAGGTGATAAGAGTATTCTGAAACGTATAGTCTCAAAGTTCAGAAAATACCACTCATACTGTTATTCATGGAAAGAGAAACCCTCCAGGTGTATAAAATACTTAATTCCAACATTTTAAACTTTCTTCCCTTTCAACTTGGCTTCTTTTGGCTTCATTCATCACCAGAACTATGTGGATTTTTTTAACAGGGTTTAGGGGAAGAAATCAAGCAGAACCTGAAATTCACATTTAATCTTTTCTGTTTTCCTTGGCTGGAATTCTACACTAGCTCTATGATATGATAAAAAGGTTGCTCAGGCGATAAAGCTCAATTAGCTCTCTTCAGAGCAAAGCAAACAGACTTCTCTCTTAAGCAAATGACCCTGAGAAACGAAAAGCAGCTAAGATGCAGTGGGTGGAAGTTAAACTGAGGTTAATAATTCAGGCAAGGGTAGATTCCCTTGTTCAGTTTATTTTATTAAAGGTAAAACCTAAAAGAAATGAAGTGGACTTTATGGGGAACATATTATGAGGAATCCAGGAGGGAATGCTTGTCCAGTTAGATGGAAAATGGATGAACAGTTTATAGGGAAACAAGCATTTATCTAGAATAGTGTTTCTCAACCTTGGCAACTTGAAGATGACTGGACTTCAACTCCCAGAATTCCCCAGCCAGCGAAGATGTCCAGACATCTTCAAGTTGCCAAGGTTGAGAAACACTGATCTAGAGCATGCTGGCTAGGGAATTCTGGGAATTGAAATCTGCTTATCTTAAAATCGCAAGGTTGAGGAACACTAATCCAGAAAGATCCATCCTGGCTCCTGAGAATGTGAATTCTGCTCACAGAGACCTTTGCCATGTTCCTTCTTTCAATGATCTATTTTTGGCTAAATTGTCATGGTAACTAGAGGCAATCTCCTTAAGTTAAATGGCATATCCTGTGCCTAGACAAGTGGCCCGGCAACATTTCTACATATGTATGCTGCTGTTTGCAGGTTGTGGTATTGCGAAGTTTCTGGTTAGAAAATGTTACTTCAGGTGCATCTGTGATAACAAATGTTACTTCCCTCACTTTTGTTTCAGAACAACCAGTATTACATGAAGCCTCGAGTGACAGATTTCCATTTCGGGATCCAGCATTATGCTGGAGAAGTAGGTACATTTTAGCTTTATAGCTGAGAGGAAGCTGGCAGGATTCAAGAGCTTTTGAGCAATAAGGCCTTAGCCTGCAATCTGCAATTCAAAGTAGGCATTTTTATGATTGCAGCGGGCAAAAGGCCAGAGTGTCTCGGATTTCTTTAATTTGAACAAATAATAGGCTTATTGAGGGCTAAAGTGCATATTAGAGTTTCTGTGGCTTAGAAGCTCTTACACACTATCGTGTTCGGGGCTTATATGACTATCCTTTATATCCTCATTAACTGTTGAAGGTGACATACAGTCCAGCAATGTGCAAGCTCCCTGCTTTGAGACTGTGTAATCTGGGCAGCCCTTCCTGATCTGGCGCCTGTGCTGAACTAGAGGATCATGGGACTCAAAGTCCAATATATCTGGATGGCACCAGGTTGGGGAACGTAGCCGTAATGCGTACTTTAAGCCACAGGTTCTTTGTTTCTGGGAGAAGAGGTTTTTGGGCATTGCAAAACTGGGCAGGATCTGTGATGAGGACATTAATGGCTGAAAATAGGACAGGGTCAATACAGGGCAGCTTATCAAACAATTGGTGAGCTATGGAACTGATTTATCTGCAAATGTTTTGTTTTGCCTTTCCTTTGAGGAAGCATGGTGGCACACGTCTTCTTCCCTACCTGCCCCCACATTTATTTTCCCCTTAGAACAACTGATTGAGGTGGGCTGGATTAAGAAGTAACAAGTGGTTCAGAGTTCCAATGGTGAACCTAATGGCTGAGCTAGGATTTGAATCTGGGTCTCCTGAGTCCCAATCCAGCACTTTGTTCACAACACTATTGGTTTGGCTATTGCAGCCGAATGAGACTTTTAAAAAAATCTCCATTTGGCTGGATAGTCTTTTGGACAGCTACACAAATTGTTTAGCAATTTTTTTCTTGCCATGTGCATCTGCTCAAAAAAAAAAAAAAAAAAAAAAAGGGAAGGGGGGAGGAGTCCATGCATAGCAAACCTGGTTATTTGTCTCTAAAATTGTTACTTATAGGTCCTCTATGACGTGAGGGGCTTTCTGGAAAAAAACAGAGATACCTTTCGAGATGACATTTTAAACATGCTGAAGGACAGCAGGTAAAGACGCGAGAGCCATTCCCAGGGAAGCAGAATTAGGTAGCTAATGCTAAGGAGGGGGAGTAAAAAAAATGGTTATGATTATTATTTTCCATAGGTAGAGCCACTCCTTGAGTGCTCAGTAATGTAGCGCCAAAGATGGGATGTGGGCACAGGTTTCTAGCAGTCCCTTGGGCCATTTAGTAGGCTAGGTAATTTGGATCTCCAGAATCTCTTCATAGCTGCTGGAGGGCTAGCTCTCCTATGGCTGGTCAGATGTCTCTGCTTCTCTTGGTGCTTATCTGTCCTTAAGTTCTAGCACCGTGATGGCAAACCTATGGCAGGCGTGCCACAGATGGCACGCAGAGCCCTCTCTATGGGCACGCCAGCTGTTGCCCCAGCCCAGCTCCACTGCGCATGATCTTCGGTTCTCTGCCGCATATGCGTGGGTGCAGGGTGCATGGGGATGCACGTGTGCATGTGTGGGGAGGCAGGGCGCATGCATGGGGGGGTGCTTGCATTGCATTTTGGGGTTTGCGCATGCACACGTGCTTTGGGCACCAAAAAGGTTCACCATCCCTGTTCTAGCACTTCACAAAGACATTCTTGATTCACGTATTATGACTAGGGAAGAAGGATCCATTTCCTGGTTTAAGACAGCAGAAGCAGCAGTGTTTCCCATGGCATCTCTTTCTTTCTCTTATATTTCTCTTTCCACACAGGCTGGACTTCATCTATGACCTCTTTGAAAGAGTTGCTAGCTGCAACAGTGAAGACACTCTGAAGTTGGGAACTCAGAGACGCAGGCCAACTGTCAGCTCCCAGTTTAGGGTAGGATCAGGAGGCCCATGAACGTGCATGTGAAAACGCCTGTAGAAACATCTCCGTAGACATGTCTTTGTTTCTTTAAATCCAGTAAATCAGAGAGAAGTACCACCAAGGTAGATGGGGATTCAGATTGTAGGTCCTGCATCTTCAATGTTTCAGGCTCCGCTCTTTTGTGTTTTTTAAGCTACAAAACCTAACATGGATTGGGAAAGGAGACGGGATAAGCCAATGAATGCCATGCAATTCTTCTTCTGTCGATGTCATAAAAGATGTTTCAGTATCATGCAATTGTGCTTCCTTAGCAGTTTCATCACGCTTTTTGTGGCTGAGCATCAGCTGTAGGAAATGTTGGACCATGTGACAGCTCATGCTCAGTAGATTCTTTTTCATCCTCTCATATATTTTTTTAAACATCAGAATTATAATTGCGTCCAAGGCACTGGAGAATGATAGTAAATCTGGTCCTGAGAATGAATTTCTCCAGAGAAATAACATCTGCTGCTCTTTTCCAGGACTCCTTACATTCCTTAATGGCTACTCTCAGCACTTGCAATCCACTCTTCATTCGCTGCATCAAACCAAACCTGGAAAAGGTGACGCTCTGGAGGTGGGGAATGCCAGATGAACAGGGAAGAAGGGAGGAGGGAGATTCACCACGATTTTCAGTGGCAGCTGAGTTGAAGCTTTGCTGACCGGAAAGGGTCTTTCTCCTTTTCTGAGGGATTCTGGATTCCTAGGAGAAAAAGTTTGTGTCCAGGGTTAGCACAACAGATACAGAAGGAAGGGCCCTTTTCTAAAAGGGCTGCTGTATGCAACATAAATACTCTTTTAATGCCTTTCCTTTAATACATTGGGAGATAAATCTTGCATTTAAAAATTTTCCTTAAGCCTAGTGACTGTTTTGTATATCTAATTCATCTCTGTGTGCGCTTGTGTGTGCATTGTACATGTATGTGCATGCAGAACTAATTAATTGAGATGCCAGGAATGACTTTTGCAATTCACTTGTCATACAAGTAAAATCTCTTTTAAATTGCCCTCCCTCACATTTGGTTGGTCTCTATTTTGGGTTGTTCTTTAGGCTCCAAATCTGTTCAGTCCAGATGTTGTGTTGAAACAGCTGCGATACTCAGGGATGCTGGAGACAGTGAAGATTCGGAGAGCTGGCTTTCCCGTGCGGCGTCTTTGTCAAGATTTCCTCTGCAGGTAAACAAGAGACAGCGCATTTCCTAGGAATGGGGGTTGCAGAGAAATCAAATATAATTGTTTAGAGCAGTGGTCACCAACTGTTGATCCTTGGTCCACAGGTTGTCCGCAAGAAAATGTTGGTGGTCCACAGAAAAATTATTTGCATTTTTTATATTCCACTAAATCAGGGGTCCGCAAGCTACGCCCCCTGGGACGGATACGTGGAATGAACATTTGTGTTGCTGCAGAGATTCTCCCCCTTTAGGGTCTTTTTGTAGGGGGGCAGAAATTCCAATTTGGGGTCTTCTTCGGCCTCCTGGTGCAGGGCTTTGGGCGAAGGCTGGAGGGAAGTGGTGGTGAAGAGCTGGAGAACCTTGTTCCAGTGGGACTACATCATGGCTTGGAACTGGCTGCCCATCTCAGCCCATTGAGCCTGGCCAGACACTGGCACTCCTGCAGGTCTTCCCTCTGCTTGGAAAGACTATGCCCGTAGTCCTCAGTGAAATGCTTCTGCTGAGTTTCCTTCTTGGTCAGATCCAATTTGAACTGAGCCAGTTGTTTTGCCAACTCTTAGTTGTTATGACTACTTAGCTCCAACAACTGCTTCCTGTTGGCACCCTAAAGAGCCCAGGCAGGGAAGTGAAGAGTGACTGAGAAGTGAGGGGCGAGTAGAAGCTGGCGAAGTGCCTCTTGGCATGAGTGACATGGAATTGGCCACACCCACCCAGTCACATGACCACCTAGCTGCACCCACTCAAACAGTCATTAGGCAGATCATATTAGTGGTCCGCAGGATTTAAAATTATGAATTCAGTGATCCCTGAGGTCCGAAAGGTTGGTGACCCCTGTTTAGAGTGACTGGCTTCTAAGGACAAGGAAACTTAAGAAAACTGCTTCTGCAGTTTCTTCTGGGTTTGAACAAACTATCTCTTTTTTCTTTCCTAAAACCAGTTAATCATCACATGTACTATTATACTCTTCTTACCTGTTCAGAGGCAGTATCTATCTTTAATTGAATGATGAAACACCCTTTCCTCCCCCGCCTCCCTGAAAAACATACTTGAATGTATTATTCTTCAATCAGATTAAATTTCATTTTACATGTGTGATGATTTGCAGCATTAAGAATTGTTGAGGTTTCTCTTCCCAGATGCCACTTGTATTGTTCGGAAAAGTTAATGGAGCCAGTTAAAAAACCTTTGGCTCTACCACAGCTTAGAAGCAAAAAGAGAACTAGACTAGTAATTGCATCTAATGCTAGAATTTGTTGATTCATGCCTGTTTCTAATTAAGAGCATTTGTTTGGTTATTACAGATACAAAATGCTTTTGAAGAATTGGACCAACCCAGACAGTGGGAAAACCACGTGTTCAAGCTTTTTGCAGATATATGACAACACCCAGAGAGAATGGAAGCTGGGGAAAACCAAGGTAAAACCTATTTCCCCAAAGAAGTAAATTGGGAAATGCTGTATAAAAATATTGTCCACAGTTACCTACATGTATGATGATTATTAGTTTTAGAACTTTGACCTAGCTGGGCTGTGGACCTGCACATATTTTGTATCACAGAAATCTGAATATATCTTTATTTCTTTCTCCCAGCAAGCCTCTTGAGAAGCATAACATGAAACCCTGCTGGTCTGCTCAAGAGTTCATTGCCAGGGGGTCTCTGGATACGATTGCTTAGCTGACAAGACCTTACAGAGCATAAAATATTATATTTTTAAAAAATCAGTGAAAATCATTAGTTCAGGGACAGCATGGAGGCTGCTCTGACCCATTACTCCTCTAGTCCTGCATGTTATAGCTTCTTGATTGTCATCTGTTCTTTTCCTATCTTGTTCCTACCATCCTGTCACATAGGTCAGCAGGTTTATTAAACACGCACAGAGAATGAACGCAATGGGTCCAACAGTGCATTGGAGCTCCATTTCCCCCCAGATTTTGTCCTTTTCAAAACCAGTAGCAGAGCTGTTCATCATTCTCTCCTGTTTCACTCGTACATCATTTCTAGTGAAATTTATTCTCTGTTGAATGTTGATTAAAGTCAGGAAGTGCCTATGTTTGTATTTATATTGATACTTCATTTAAGTCCAAAAAGATTTTTTAAATAAGTTGGGCTCATCCCAACTAGGCTGGCAAAGAAGGCATGCTACAGACCCCGTTGTTCAAGAAATTTCGGCTGGTGGAGTCCAGGTGAAGAGCTGTGACTCCTGCCCAGTGGTGTATTAACCATTAAGCAGACTAAGCACGTGCTTAGAGCACCAGGCCCAAGGGGGCACCACAAAAATGAAAAAGAAAAAAACCCCAATAAAGATTTGTACAGGAGGGAGGTACCAAGATTTGTTACTGCTTAGGGCAACAGTGAGCCTTAATCCCCCACTGCTCCTGCCTTTTGGAACATCTTAGTTTTATCCCAAGATAAAGTTCATATTGATAAGATCCTGCTTCGCTTTTGCAACTGTATCACTCTAGAAAAGAGTCTTAATGAACAGTTAGGGAAATGCTTGGATTTCTTAATCTAAGGGGAGGATTGGAAATCTGCCATATATGAATTGTAAATTGGTTTCAGCCCAGTTAAAACAAAGAAAAAATGCTTTGTATTAGGAATGAATATAGAAACCCTTGGCTTTATTTGTTTAATAAATAAATACAATCAAAATTAAAATTTGGAGTTGTGTTCCAGTTGTAGCAGCTATAGAATGATGGGCAACTGTAAAATTGGTAAAGTGCGTTTTTTGATTCTGTCTTTTAAAAAAAATCAGACTGAATAAATAACATTGAAATTTAATGAGCAATGCCTGCTGAGTTTCAGTATGTTCATTGTTATTTGGAGTAATACACTAGTGTTGAATGGAAATAAAGAATAATATGCTATTTTTCAGGTTCATTATACAGAACTTCATCTGTATTAAGGATATGCAAAACCTTCAGTGTATAGATCATTCTGGGCCTAGTACACTCAAGTTCAGGTGGTCCACGATTGGGCCAACATACATTTGTTGCATGTTTTATCTTCAATCAGAATAGAGCTGGTAGGGACCTTGGAGGTCATCTTCTAGTCCAGCCCTCTTCTCAAGCAGGAGACCCTATACTACATTTCAGACAAGGAACTGTCCAGTCTCTCCTTAAAAATCTGCAGTGATGACGCACTCACAACCACAATCAGATATGGAACATGTATGTTTGGTCCAGACTCACATCCAGACATGGGTGTTTCAGGTCTAAATATTGAGGGTTCTGAAAAGGCAAAACTGGCAGTGATAGGCAGGGAAAAACAAGCTATGAGGAGATTGGGAGCAGGAGCAGGTGAATGGTTGGATTGTACTGTGCATGACATGAAGTGTAGCCAAGGAAATGGAATGAAGGCCCTGAGATGTTTGGTAGAGGGACTAATTGGTGGCAGGTTGGAGTCTGCTGCATTTGGAATCCATTGTAGGTGAGAAGAAAGGGAGACATTGGGGAAATTGTTTTGTGGGATGGTACACAAGTCATTGTGAGGAGGATGGAGGGGAAAGGAGCTTTGACTTATTGTCCCACAAATCTGCCCAGAGCTTGTCTTGGTTAAAACCCAGAACACAAAGTTCCTGGTTTTGGTTTAGATGGACTAAAAATCTTTTGTGGCTAAACATCAAAGTCACAGTTGTATGTCATATTTGGAACATATGGAACAAGGGACTCTTCCCCCATTTTATTCATACCTCTATGCTGCATCTCTATCAGTGCTCAGGAGAAATAGAATATAGACTACTAAAATTAGGACAAAGGCCAATTAAATGCAATTAAGATTTCCTGCTGCTACTAGCATCACTTTCTTTATTTCACCTAACTAAGGCCTCTCCTACCTACAAAAGCCCTGTGCCAGGTTTGCCCTAACATTTTCTTTAAGACTATTTTAGATGTTCTAACATCTAAATCAATAAAACCACTGGGGAACCGAGTTCTGTAGGGCACTAATTAAAGAAGCAGCTCAGCAATAGCTTGTGGTCCATTGGGCAGAGAGCTCTTCATTAAAGAGCTTCTAGTGTGATCCAAGAAGAAATTATAAAGCAATTGGACCTAATCAGCATAATCAAGGACATTTAAGGCTATTGTAATTTGTTTCTGTGTTTTTTCTGTCCTTTTCCTTTTAGCATTAGATTATGTTTTTCTTGGGAGTAGGCAGAATTATGGCATGTTCTGCAGATGGGACTGCCTGGAGCAAACTGGGGATGGAGAAACCCTAGGCAAAGTAAAGTAAAAAGGAAATGGGCATCTTTCTGCCTGCTGAACACTTGAAGTTAATAAATCAACCTTAGAGCATTAAGAGACCAGGCTTTAAGTGACTGATGCGTGAACAACTAGCCTTTGATCTCCACGAGAACAATAAGATTTTCTCTCCTGTACATGTGTTCCCTCTTCATGTTGCTGGACCATCTGAAAAGGACTGGCTGTCTCAGTGTCCTGCATTAGTACAAAACAAACTAAGTCCTTTTTGGCAGTTCTTTATAGGTTTTATAGGCTTCTCTTTGCAGAATGAACAAGAGGAGGAGCCGTAGCATGGATGAAAGATGCTTTTCTTTCCATTGAATGCTTTGTTCCATTATCTGCAGGAATAAGATAGAAGCAACTAAGGGCAATTTTAAGAAAGATATTGGCAGGTAGATAAGACAGCCATATTCATGACCAGACAATGAGAGTTTACTCAATAATGCTCAGTGATTACACAAAAATAGACAAAAACAGCATTCTTTTCTTCTAACATAGAGATGACAAAGTAAAAAAAAAGCTTTCGGTTGGAAAAAAAATCAGGTAAATTAAACTTAAATGCAAGCTCTTTTTTGCACCAAAATAATCTTTCCAATCAATTTGGATTGGAACAGCACATGTGTACTATTTACTGTTGTGCTAATGGTATAGAAACATATTTGATGTCAGTTCAATGGGATGTGACTGTGATACCCTGGAGGATTCAGGAAGCCTGGAACATTTTTTTTAAACCCACGTGATTAATACTGGGCTGCCTTTCGTAACTCCTTTCATTAGGGAAAAGCACTTGTAAGGCTTGAGCGGGGAGTAGATGAGGGGAAGTCACGTGAGTTTTGTGGGGTTTGCTTCTTAAATGTAGCTGGCTGCAGCTTTGACCCGTAGATACATCAGATTGCTCTATCTAATAGCTTTGCCCAACCAGAGCACCTTCCAAAACTAACCACCAACTTCCCAGAATTAACAGACAACGTGGCCATCTGTAGTCAGTAAGACGGCCTAAACTTTTTAGAGGGATGCGTTCTAGATAGAAACATTTTTCATTCCTTTGTACTGCACACCTTACAAGGGAGGAAACCAAGATTCACTCTATAAGCACAGCAGGTTGTTTTTCTCATCAAATCTCTGGTAAGAATGCCTACATAATATATATGCCCACATGGTTGGGTTATTCGTATATTATTTCTTTACATATACTCTTTAAAAAAAATAAAATCCTATTTCTCTCTTTGGTGTGTCTTGTAAAAGCTTACTTTGTGCTTTTTGATAACGACTTGATCCAACGGAATTAAACATTTCCTTAAATAGAAGTAAAAACTTAAATCTGGCTGCATTTCTGCATGCTGCTTACAACATAGGAGTGGGGAAAAGAAGCAGTTGGCAATTGTAGCCCAGGGCAGCTCAGGCTTTCTTTTCATCAGTTTTTTGAAAAAAATATATGAATGGGTCTTAAAACAGTCCTGAGTTTATGAAAGTGGTCCCTTTGTTTTGGCCTAAGGAATGGGCTGTAATTTCCTCAGCATGAAACGCCAGGAAAGCATACCGTAGCAATCCCCTTCATGTCTTGAGGCGTTGTGAGATTGCAGGTACCAGGTTCCTGCCCAGTGAGCCTTCCAGGTGTGCCATGTTCCGGTTTCTGCCTACGGGGCAGCAGGGGGCCCTGGGAGTTAGGATCCTATGTGAGTATGGGTGTTGGCTTCAACATGTGCTGAGCAGGATGGGGAAAGGAGTAGGAAATGCTTCCTGCGGCATGTATTCAATGGGTATTTCTATACTGAGCAATTGTTTGGGGGAGGAAGGAAAGGGATTAGTGTAAAGAATTGTGGAGCACAGGAAAGGAAGAGGAAGGCAAGACAGTCTTTGTATTTCTCATTAGGAGCAGAGCAGCTGCCAGTTGTGAATTGTGGAGGGTTGAGTTTTTTCAGGAAACAAACGAAAGTACAACTAATCAGAGAAGCTCTGTTCTGCTTCAATGCCAGCTTTGCCATTCTGGACTTCTGGGTTTTCTTCCTTGGTAGATATATCTGCAATTTATTTATTTTTTTGCTTCTAAAAGAAATGCTGCTACATGGGTGCATAAGCAAAATAATATATCCAACAATTAAGCTTTGTTATATATACATTGTTTGCATTCAAAGTTCACTTCCCCCCCCACCCCACCCCCGTGTCTGGAATATTTTAATTCAGTTTATCTAACTCATCTATGCAATTCAATGATGTGGCACTGATATTGATTTCTCCTCAACTCGCAATACAGCTTTTGGAATAACATATAGGTTACTGTGAGGTTCCCAACATTACCACCGCTTTTGAGACAAAATGGGAAACGCAGAATTCTTTTAAAGAGGAGATGGGACATAGTGGTAGATTACTCTGGCCATACTACTCTTCCTGTTTAGAGCATTGTCAGAAGATCCACCCAGGGTTTTAAGAGAGTTGGAAAGCCAAGTGCACAGAAATAAGGTCTCAATAAACAGCCTGAGGAATGGAGCCCCATAAAGATTATCTCTCAGCTGTGTTGCTGAGATGCCATTGAGATGCCTTTTTAATTGTTTCTGGAAGAAGCAAGTGTGAAACACAATTGGATTTATAAGATTGAGTTCTGGAGCCTTTACCTTAAGTGAGTGTGAATGATAAGCCATGGAAGTAACCAAAGTAAAGTTCTGGGGATATGCCATTAAATTCTTTCATTCTTCCTTAGTCCCAGAAGAATACTACATTCAAACTATCTATCTTTATCTCTTATGAGTTTATTGCTTAATATACCTGGTTGAGTACATTAAGGTCCATTATAAGGAGCAGGTATCAGTGAGTCAACTTAGTCACCAAAAGCAGAGTGGGTGAAGAAACCCTTATGGCTCCATTGAACATGGCCCAAAGCCATCTTTTATTGTCTCACTTCTGTCACATATTAAATCTAAGATGCTTTTGCACCCTTTGTGACATTGCTGGGATTCACCTGGGATTCACCTTTTAGATAGTGCATTGCTTCAGTATGCATAAAAATATATTGTTGTTTAAATACCAAGACCTGCCCACCACCACACACATACACTTTCAAAACAAATTATTAAAATTATTTCCAGGCCCTGCAGTTGGAATCTTAATACCTCATCTTTAGAATATCCACTAGGATTTATGCAATGTAATTCTTTTCAATGACGTCCATTTATAAATCTGGTGTGAAAATTTGCATATAAAATATTGCAACCGCCATCTGTTAATGTGCATGTCAAATTAAGCCCGGCTCTTGCGGGGATGGATAATTGTAGGAGGGGGAAAACCCAAATACAAAGGAATACTCCAGCTCTTTTTGGCAGGTAAGAAAACGACGGAAAGACTGGCATGGAGGAGAAATGCTAATTAGCAGCCAGAAGAGGATGATTTAGTTGTAGTGCAGAAATTCGATTTGGAAGCCTTTTTTTAAAAAAATGAGACCCTTCACATAATTTAACCAGCTTCCTGTGCATTCCTCTCACCGTGGTCTTCTCTCCGTCTTTATACGCCGCTATAAAACTGCTTTAGGGATTTTAAATGGAAGGCTCCAATTACCTCAGAAAAAAGATAAAGCTGTGTCGGGAAAAGGGTTAAACAAGAGTTGTAAAAGCGGTGCAGCCGCCTCCTTCCCTCTCCTCCCCTTCCACCCCCCCCCCACTCCCCAATCCTTGAGCACAGTGCGGGGGCTGGGCTGACACTCCCTGCTCAACTTTTCCCTTGTCTGTCGGCGCTGATTCCCGAAAGGGAAGGGCTGGCAGAGCAGCAGGGACGGCTCCGCTGCAGGAGCGTAAAAGAAGCCCTCCGTGTCTGGTTACTCTGGGCTGGCTGGCAGGCAGGCATGGGATCTGCTGGGGCTGCCGGGGACTCGCTGTTTCCTCTCTTTGTGTCTGACGAAACTCCTCCCCGGGGTACTAGGTTTTCCTGAAGGAGGTTCTGGAACAAAAGCTGGAAAAGGCCCGGGAAGAGGAGCTGAAGAAGGCGGCCACCGTCATCCGAGCCCACGTCCTGGGCTACATGGCAAGGTCAGTGCCTAAATTGCTTGCTGTGCTTGGTTGCATTGCTGCCTGCCTGCCTGCCTGCCTGCTGCATGCACTGGATTTCTCTCTACCCCACCCCCTTTTTCTTTCCTGGCCTCCCCATTCCTGCTCCCAAGCCTCCAAGTGTTTCTAAGAGGCAAAGTTAAGCCACACGCTCTTGACTTTTTCCCTGTTGCATTTTTCGTCCTCCATGAAGCTGCCCTTATCTAGATCCCTGGCTCCCTTCCCTTTGCCATTCATTCAAGGTTCCAAGCACAGTCTCTGATTTGATTTGGAACAGCTCAGTATCTAGGCGATAACAGCTCTGCCCCCCCCCCTTTCCTGTTTCACTCCGGGGTCTCTTGGCAGAGTTGTAAGCAGCAGGGTTGTGTTTCATCCCTGCTTTGTGTCTCCTTACCTATGTCTCTATTTTTAACTTACTACCATCTCTTCTTCCATAGTGAGCTGGGCTTTGTCTCAGCTTGTTCAGGCAAATTGCAATGTACTGTGTGCCCATTGGGATAGCCGCTTGCATTTCATAGGTACAGCGGTGTTACTATAAGAAATATATGGTATATCTTACATTGCACGATTGCACCATTGCACATAGAAGTTGGGACTAATTCAGTGTGATTTTTATAGGTTTGTCTTAAAAATAGTTTTAGACCACCTTAAGGTTGGGAAGAAATACGAACACCTATGAGCAATGCTTGCTGGAATCCCAAAACCCAAGTAGGAGAGAGAGAAACTGCATAGAACTTTTAAGGCTGGCTCTCTCCACCGCGCACCCCCCCCAACAACAGTCAGAAACAAAATAGAAACAAAAGTCTTTTTAGCTTTTTTTTAAATACCTTTCGTTAGTGTATTGTTGCTTGCATTCTATAGGAAATGTACTGTTAAAAAATCTATAAGGAATACTTTTTAAGTTTTTGCCCAAGAAAACTAAACTTAAAGGGGAGTGTTGGAGGGAGGGAGAGAGAGAGAGAATGAACAAGGAAGGTTCAATATTCCTTCCATCTTCCTCCAGTGCATGAAACCAAGCCCTTCCATTCCTCAGTCCATCAGTTTGATGCTAGCCTGAGTATGGGCCTCCTACTGATATTTATTTATTTTATTTTTATCCCACTTTTTTTTACTTGATAAGTAAGTCGAAGTGGCAAACATATCCAACACACCTTCATCCTTCTATTTTCCCCACAACCACCCTGTGAGGTGAGTTGGCTTGAGAGAGAGTGACTGGCTCAAGGTCACTCAGCAGGCTTTCGTGGCCAAGGCAGAACTTGAATGCATGGTCTGGTTTCTAGCTCCGTGCTTTAAGTACCTGATCAAGCCCTCAGGTTTCAGCAGGTTTTAAAATATTATATCTTTGAGGAGAATAAGCCCCTCGGGGAGAGAAATCAGTCCATTTTTATTGATTGAATTAGTATTTTAAGAAAGTTTTGATCCGCAGAGTTCTGCATGATACATTATTAGGGCTGCAGAACATGCTACTATTTACTGGTCCCATCTCTGAGGGCCCTATTTGAAGAGATTTAGAAACTCAGGTTTGGCATAGAGAGGGTATATTTTGCATCGGCCCAAAATTATTCCATTTGCTGTGCTTAGCGGAAGATCACATGTAGAAAATGAAAATGAATGGCAGTCTCAAGATGCAGAAACTCCATGGAGTTTCTCCATGGAGCAAAGTTTGGGAGAATGGCAAAATAGCTTCTTGGAGCATTGTCTATATGGAAACTTGATTGTGCTGAGTATTCAGATCAAATGTAACAGGGCAAAACAGCACCTAGGGAGAATTTAGGAAGAAGTGTGATTATATTGGTGTGTGACCTCCATATTTATGTGCCTTTTGACTAGGAAGAAGTATCGAAGAGTGCTAGCCAGTATTGTTACCATTCAAAAAAATTATCGCGCTCACTTCTGGAAGAAGTCTCTCTTGCGCCTGAAAGCCTCTGCTATTGTCCTGCAAAAGCACTGGCGTGGATGCCTAGCTCGCAATCTCTATCAAGATCTGCTGGAGGAAAAACAGAGGCAGAAAGAGGAAGCTGAGGAGCAGAGGCGAGAAGAAGAGAAGATTAGAAAGGAGGAAGAAGAAAGGCAATGGCAAGAAGAGCAGGAGTGTAGAAGGAAACAAGAAGAGAAGGAAAAGAAAAGGTACAATGGCCATATTTCTGAGGTCTGTCTGTCTACCTACCTGTGTATGTATGTCTGTCTATATATATCATTCTGTCTGTCAGTCTGTCTCTTATTAAATTTATTTGTTGCCCATCTTGCTGCAAGGTCACAATGTAAAAAGCAATAAAACCATAACATACAGTCTAAGAACAATACAAATACAATTTATAATTAAAAGATGGGGGAGTGGGATGCAATGGGGGAGGTGGGATCTGCTATTAGTCTATCAACCACCTTCAGCATGATGTACCCCCATTGGGGCCCCAAGACCTTCTGGCAGAGCTGGGCCTTCAGACTCTTTTACAGAAGGTCAGGAGGATGGGGGTGGGGGGGCAAGATGTTCCAAAAGGCAGGAGCAGTGGCGGATTAAGGCTCACTGGTGCCCTNATATCACCCTCTGGTATTTTCCTCCATGCTGTTGTTTATATATGGCTGCTATAATTGATTGATTATGTGCATTAAGTCAGTTTTGATTCTTGATGACCACATAAATAGACTTTCTCTAGGGTGATCCATTTCTTTTCCTAACCTGGCCCTTCACTGCATTGAATCCATCCAACTTGCTACTAGTCATACTTTTTTCTCATTCATTTTTTAAATGAATTCTTGAATGAGGGGTTTTGATGCAACTGGTTCTGTACAGTTGTGATTATACCCAGGAAGTCAATTTATCTAACATGTAATAGAAGTTAGATAGTTACCAAATAACAATAATTCATTTCTTTCCTAGTTTTTAGATACCAAAGATGAAGAAGGGGATACTTATATGGACACAGATGAAGAATTCTGTAGTGGCCGGGTCACTCTGTTCAATGGATCTGGGCCCGCATATTTTCACAGCTATCTCTACATGAAGGGTAAGGAGTTTTCTCAGTTCCATGAATTTAGCAGGTTGTCTGCTTCTGCAATCAGTCACTTTAGTTGGTACATTCTTTCTTTTCTCTTTTTGCTACTTGGTCCTGTATTCGTTCCAGTATAAAATATATCTTTTTAGAGAAGGGGTTTCAAAGGATTTTTTGATTGTTGTTTCTAGATCAAGTTTCTAGATCACCTTTATGAATAGATAAACTAAACTCTGTTTCATATTAGAATGAAGAAGGTCTAGATATTTCTTTTGCATACACGTACTGCCCCTCCAGGTATTCTATAAATGCCCACAGGTATTTTCTTACTCTCCTCTCCTATTTTTCCCCCAGTCCTATTTTTTCAGGACTGTCCAGTGGCTTTTCTTACTAGCTCTAAAATTATCAAATTACTTGGCCAATAGATATTGGCCCCCGATGAGATAATGTTCTGACACCAAGATAATGCTTCCCACTCCCAATTGAGGTTTATAATTTATTTGAATGCTTTCTCCATTCCTTTCCCAAACAGCTTCAAAGATAGTATACAGGGAGGCTATCTTATTTCTGTGGCTGGGGCTAAAGTGAAAACTACATAATTCCTGAAAGGAAGACAGCCCTGAATTTAAGATGAACTCTGTGTTGAAGGGTAAAGCAGAGAGGAAAAAAATAATTTGTCTTCATTACTATATTCTCAGTAAATCTAAGACACTCCTCCCATTTTAGAGATAAGTTATTTTCAGAACCCTAGACCTTCAGGATTTCTTAAAAGAGTATATGTTGAGCTTTGTAGGAGGGGGGATACTGTACTCTTGGCACATATGTTTTTTTGTGAACCACATTTGCCCAACTGTAGCAGCCTCTTCTATAATAACTGTATAGTAATGCTTCACAGCAATCAAATTTATGAGTCCGTGGTGTTGTAGAGAAAAAAAAGAAAGAACAGGAAATGTGTATAGTGGTTTATGGTTTTTTTTCTTTTCTTTCTTTAAAAAATACCCCTATTTTGCTTTTCAATAAAATCATAAATAGTACAGGTGTACCATATTTTTCGGAGTATAAGACGCACCAAGATTTTGAAGGGGTAAATTTAAAAAAAAGGTTTTGCCCTCCCGGGCCCCCAGGAGCACTCTGCACTCTGTTTTTTTGAGGGGAGGGCAAAAACCCCTCCCATGGCAGGGCAGGATTAAACATATCTCTCTGTGCTTTATTTTGTTCCCTCTGACCGGTGACACGGAGCCGCTTGGCCCAAGGAGCAGCAGTTGACTCGCTTCCTCTCTTCAGTGAGGAAGGAAAGACACATGGGGGCTGCTGAACGGCTGCTCGATCAGGAATGGCCCATTGGGCGAAAAGGGGGGGAGGATCCCTTCCATTTGGATTAATGGTTCCTTGTGGTGGCACCTGAGCGGCAAAAGAGAAGCCCAAAGAAAACAACCCGGCAAGGCTGCCTCCTTGAACAAGCAGATTTGTTCACAACCCTCTTGGCAACCCCGCTTCCTTAGTCTCGGGGCAAAAGTAGGTCCCAAGCTGTAGGGAGACTCCTGACCTGGCACTCCTGCATTCCAAAGTTTCCTTTCCATCCTGCACTTCTTCCACTAGCCAAGATCCCAACAATGCCAATAGCTTTTCCGGGAGAGAAAGTGAAGATCTAACATCTTGAGAAAAGATTTCATGATGAGGAGATTGTTTCCCTTCTCTTCCTCCAACCCCCCCCCCCAAATCCGCCCGGATCTGTCATGCAGCAAAGAGATACGGTAGCTGCCACCCGGAAATGCTATTACCGCGATCTCTGCCACCTGGAACCGCCCGAGAAGGGGCAGGTAAAGTGGGCACTGCAGAGATCGTAGTTCCAGCGTTTTGGATGGCAGCGCACCGATCTCAGGAGCCAAAGCCTTTGAATCAAGCTTGATTGTGTCCCATTCTAGGTTTTTAACTTCCCAATCTAGTGTTCTGAGAAAAGCGTTCGTAAAAAGTAGATTATTCCTCTTCCCTTCCCTTCCTCCCCCGCCCCATCTCTCCGGATTCTCAGAAGCCAAAGCCTTTGAATCAAGCTTGATTGTACCCCATTTCAGGTTTTTAACTTCCCAATCTAGTGTTCTGAGAAATCTACCATCCTTGAGGCACCTTTTGTTTGCAGGAGGAGGAGAAGGGCAACTTAAAGCAGCGCCTCCTTAAACCAAAGCCTCTGAGTAACTGGGAAAGAAAAGCGTGGTCTTCAGGCGGTAGTTTTTGGCAGGTTCCAAGTTCCCAGTTACTCAGAGGCTTTGGTATACTCCGCCCTCCTCCTCCTGCAAGCGAAAGGTACTTAAGAGATTCAGTGGGCAGTTCAGGGGAGACAATGGCCACAATGACTTCACTCCCCAGCAATTTGAGGAGCCGCCGCCGCCATTGCCTAAACCCTCCATGGAGCCCTGCCGAGCGGGAGCTCTGAAAGCGAAACCTCTCTCCTTTCCAGCCATCACAATCAGTGCAGGGCCCGCTTCGCCTGCCCCTTTTTCAGATGACCCAGGTGGCTACATTCAGAGTATAAGATGCAGCCAGATTTTCACCCTCTTTTTTGGAGTAAAAAGGTGCGTCTTATACTCCGAAAAATACGGTAAGTAAATTGTGGGATGTAAGTTTTTATTTTTTATTGGCAATCAGAGTGATTTGGAAGCTATTCCTATTGGTTTATTTTTATGGATGGATCACTCCAGCGCCGGGATTCACTTATCTTCCCTACCGCTTTGCAAATGTGAGCGCACGGACCTCATCTGCGCATGTGCACCGCCTTCTATGCATGCACAGTGCTCGCGCATTACGTTGGGGTGGGTAGGCGGAGTCTCCCGCATCCACCACTACCGGTTCACCCAAACTGGAGAGAACCGGCTGAATACCACCTCTGGATTGCTCCCTGTTGGCCTTGGAGTTTTCCATGCCTGTATCTCACTGCAGGAAGTAACTGCTATTCTGATTGCCCAATAGAGCCTATTAGTCCCATGTGCATATTGATTTTTGTAACTTTTTCTTTTTATGGGCTTAGTATTTTTTTTATCACAATTCATTGTCAGCCTCCAAAGGCACAGTAGAGAGTTGAGCAGCCATACGAATTGTTTAAATAATAAGTAGACATTAATTGTACTTAGAGGAAGTATTTCATTTTTTAGGGTAATCTTACAGTCGTGGACAGGAATAGGAATCTATTGTTATATTGTCAGATTTTTCCAACTTGGTTTCTTTTCCTTGCAGGGGGGTTGATGAACCCCTGGAGGCGGCGTTGGTGTGTCCTAAAAAATGAGGCCTTTATGTGGTTCCGAGCCAAACAGGAAGCCTTAAAGTCGGGCTGGCTTTATAAGAAAGGAGGAGGCATGTCCACGTTATCTCGACGGAATTGGAAACGGCGCTGGTTTGTCCTGAGAGAGGCCAAACTGATGTATTTTGAGAATGACAGTGAAGAAAAGCTGAAAGGAACAATTGATATCAGGAAAGCAAAGTACGGGCAATGCTGTTATGTCTCTCCTTTCAAGGAAAACAAAATTGTTCTTGTCTGAAAACTCTCTAGTCCAGTGTTTCTCAACCTTGGCAACTTGAAGATGTCCGGACTTCAATTCCCAGAATTCCCCAGCAGTGGTTAGGGCAGTGTTTCTCAACCTTGGCAACTTGAAGATGTCCGGACTTCAATTCCCAGAATTCCCCAGCCAGCATTTGCTCTAGTCAGTTTGACTTCTATTTGTCTCTAAGATATTCATTACTTGTATAGAGAGCTTTTTATCCTCCTGTTCCTTCTAACTTTCCATTAGCTCCATCTTTAATGTTAGGCTACTTTCCTACTCCTATTTGGNTAGTTGGGGTGAGCCAATCCCATTGGGCTGCGATGGGAAATAATCTGGATCCATGCCATGCAGGGCTTTAAAATAACCAACACTTTGAATTGCACCCAGAAGGAAACTGGCAGCCGATGCAGCGCAGTAGTAGAACAAGGGCCACTTTAGGGGCTGCAAGGACTGCATGCATTCTGCACTCGCTGTAACTCTCAAATGCTCTTCAAGAATAACTCTATGTTGAGTGCATTGCAAATGTGAGATGACCAGGGCTTGAATGAATATGCACAGGACTCCTGATCCTGGAAAGGGCTCAATTGGCACACAACGCAAAGTTGAAAAATCTCCTAGCCACGACTGCCACCTGCCCACCAAGTCTGTCTGGGGTAATGCCACCCCATCTGGAACAAAGGAGGTCAAAGTCCTGGCTCTTGAGTTTCCTTAAACCCAAAACCTTTTTGATCTTGCCAGGATTCAGCCAAAGTGATCCAAAAAAAACCATTTTAGACTGTTGGAGAGAGGGAACTTCCTACAAATATACATACATACATACATACATACATACATACATACATACATACATACATACATACATACATACATACATTAAATCAATTGTATATTGTTATATGAAACTAATAATATAGTATGTGAAATGAAGAGATTATGTTCCCAGCTCCAAAGCAACTTAAGGCTGGTGATCCTGAAGGCGAAGATAAATCAGAGATTGCAAAGCAGCCGCCGCTCTTTTTTGAACCTCTTTCTCTGTCCTGGGATCTATAAAAAATGAAATATATTTGGTTCTCAAAAAAATGCCAACTTTTTCCGAAGGCTCAGCATCTTTGCTTGCACACGTCTTCCTTTCCCCTCCAGTTTCCCAGATTAATTCCAGAATTGGGAAATAAGCGTAAGAGAGTCTTTCTGTTCTATGTAAGTCCAGGTGTCCTCCTGTCTTAAACTTAGTGCTTCTTCAAATTTAATTAAATAATGTTTTTTATGATGATGACTTCTTATTCATCATAAGGCAAACTTTAATTTCTTTTCATTAGCCACAGGCAGTCCGTATTGTGAATGGTCCATATATATCAAGTAGCAATCAGTTTCTGCTCTAACACTTTTTTAAGAAAATTCAATCTTCAGAAAACCCAAGCTTTTAATTAAATGTACTGTAATAAATTATATGGTTTTGAAGGAAGCTTTTCACTAAGACATAAATAACAAAGGCAGGTATACCTTTTAAAATTATATTGATTTTTCTGTAGGAGAAATTGAAAGAGTGTGTGATTATCTGTTACTTCTTTATGAAATTTCTGGCAAACTAGGCTGTGTATTTTATTGGATAACTGCTTTTTTATTTTGAACAGGAAAAAGGAACAGTTGGAAGCAGCACTGCAGGTAGCTCAGGTACGTCTTCTTCTTTCTCCAATCTTCCACCTCTTCTTCAGAATCCCCAGCAGAACTGTTGGGGAATTGAACAGCTGATGTTTGAATGGAGTCAGAGACTTTGACACGAACTTGTTGCTTTTTATAAATAAATATATTTCACATCTATATACACAGCAAACTAGATAGTCAGGAAAACTGGAGCATCATCAGATAAATCACAGAACATACAAGGCACACAGAAGAAAAAGGCAGGGGAAAAAGGGAAACTCCCCTTCCACACCCACAGCAACCAATCACAGTACAGATTGCCTCACACAGGAGCCACAATCAACCATAACTGTGTGTTCTGGCATACTGAACAACCCCACAGCTCCAGCTACTAAATTTAAATATCTTAACAAGAACCCCAACCTACCCGGGCCTTGACTTTTTCTTAGTGCACTATTAGTTGTGTGCATTTCTCTGAAATGATTCTGGGGCACATTTGATTTTACAGTGCATCATTTTTAAATCAAAATATAGGGAATTTTAACATTGTCCTCTTAATGCCCTTCATTGTCTCAAATCTACATACACCATGCCCAAAGCTGCTACTGACTTGAGAAAGAAACTTCTGAAACTCTATTGATAATTGATGCTTTCTTTTTGAGCCAACCAGCAACCGAAGGATGATTTATTTATTTTTTGCACGTCATGCAGAAGATTTCAGGGAAATATCAAAAATGGAATCAATATTTTAGGAACTGGGTTCTGTGCATTCATACAGAAGTCTAAATCAATCCAACATCTTGGTGGCATGCCTAGGGAAACGTTTTGCTTTCATCTCTAAAACTATTTTCAGAATTTGATAGTGCTAAAATCTTACAAAACTTAAAAATTTAATAAGATTTTGACTATTTTTCTAAAATAGTCAATGTTTTCATTTTGAGCGGGACTCTAAATTGGATTAGAATCACAGATATTCACAGACGAGTTCCAGTGAATTCAGTTTATTAATATGGGGCTGTTTGAAAGCATTAAGAAAACATTGGTTTAATCATGGATAGAACATGCATCAAACAGTTGTCTTTGAGATTGGGGGTGGTTGTTGTAGTAAATACCATACAAATTCTAGTGTATCAAAGGAGATACACACTACCCATGATGATTATCTTTTGAATTACATTCAGCTTCGGGGAATTTAGTAAATATTCCATATTGTATCTTTGAGAAGTTAGAATTAAAAAAATCTTGTGAACTGGGGAGCAATGAAGCACCACTTGGTTGTTATGATAGCACCTGAATTTTCAGAGCGATTTATGAAAGTTAGTTATTTTTTTGCATTTCCGAATCAGATGGAGGTACTAAAAACCCAGAAGGAGAACCATCCCCTGCGGGAAGAGGAACAGCGTCAAATGGAGGAGATTCTGCGTTTGGAAAGGGAAATTGAGAAGCTGCAGTGGCAACAGAAGGCAGATCATGTGTCCATTACATGTGAGAATACCAAGAATGAGATGAAGCGGCAGCGGGAAGAAGAAATACAGAGGCTGGAGAAAGAAGCATCTAGGGTTGCACAGGAGTTCTTAGAACTTTTAGATTTTGGGAACCTGGATGAAAGTGTGCAAAACTTAGAACGCTCCCTGTCTAGTGAAGGAACTCTCAATATTGAATGTAGCCTTGTTGCTCCGCTAGCTGAGGAAGAAGAAGATGAAGGTTTTCCTGCGGATGAAGAAGGGCCGCCAGTCCCCAGCCCAAGTCTGTTGAACCAGGACAGTAGCACCAGGACCAGTGATAACTATTATTCAGAGGAAGACACATCTCCAAATATGCCAGTGTCTGGGGAGGAAGAGAACAGAGAAGGGAACACTCTGCTTCCTTCTACTGAGGGAGCTGGAAGCCCTCAGAAAGAACATCTGAAAAGCATATACTGGATAGGCTCAGAAGTAACGCAGAATGACATGGTAGAGGTGGAAGATCCCATTTACAGCTTGCCTCCAGATGTGGAATCAGATTATGACCACGAGGAATATGATGGCATTGTAGATAGCAGCAGCACATCAATTGAGCCACTGAACAGGGAGGAGGTCCTGCACAATTCTCTTAGCAACGGTGTGGATTCCAATCGTGGCAGCTTGGACTCGGTGAGAAATGTTCATAACCATGGCAGTTGAATAGTCCTGTTAACCTGTTTCATCTTGCATAAGCGATAATATCATTAATATTTCTTTAATTGATATCATTGTCAAATTTAATCCATGAATTCCAAAGAGTAACATTGGCTTGAGTTCCATAATGGAGGAAAGGCAGATTAAGCTATTATTTTCACATGCCCTCAGAGACACATATACTAATTTGTTCAGTCCATTGTAACATGTCTTTTATTCTGTTGGTTTATCTGTTGTGACAATGCATTTGTTTATGGTTTACTTATTANCAGTGTTTCTCAACCTTGGCAACTTGAAGATGTCCGGACTTCAATTCCCAGAATTCCCCAGCCAGCATTTGCTCTAGTCAGTTTGACTTCTATTTGTCTCTAAGATATTCATTACTTGTATAGAGAGCTTTTTATCCTCCTGTTCCTTCTAACTTTCCATTAGCTCCATCTTTAATGTTAGGCTACTTTCCTACTCCTATTTGGATTTTTCTAACTGCTTTGCTTGAAAAAAAAAAATCAGCCTTGAGAGCTACTCTAGATCCCCAAACTGTATCCAAATGTAAGGAGCTGTTAACTACACACTAAACCTATTATTATCAAAAACCAATGCATTATAGTTAGTCATTTTGAGGTGGAAAACATACATAGCCATATGGAGGAAGTGCTAAACTATTGATACCACTAACTATGATATCCTTCTGAATTATCTAGTCGCATTGGTCCTTGGGAATATAATTTTTTCCAGCGGTGTATATTCATAAATGCTGCCGGGATATAGCTGTTTACTTACCTCCCACGTTGTGTCTTATTTCCCATGCTGCTCAATAGCTATATGAAATTGCTGGGAGACATCAGACGTTTTAGAGTGGGGTATTATTAGTATTTTGATGAAACTAATTTCTACTCCTAATCCAAGGAAGCGCTATTAGCATACTTCAATATTACCTGCATTTAATAACGGTTAGGTGAATTAGAACAAGTTGAAGTTAAATCCAGGCAAGACACTGGGGCTTTGGGGAAATATGAAACCCCACTTGGGGATTGAGGTTCAGCCTGATTTGGATGTGACTGTCTTCCCAGTCTTAGGAAGCTCCTTGATCTTCAGTTGTTGGATTTGCTGGTGGCTGCTGTAGCAAGAAGCGCTTTTTGATCCCTGACTATGAAATGTTTGCTTAACCCACACTAAAATCTCCTCTGTTGTTCTTTCTTGTATCTTTGGCCTTGCCAGGAAGGATGATCTGAGCTGCTTCTATAAGACAAGAGGAGCTCCAAACTTCCTTAAGGCCAAACATGCCAAAGAGAGAAAGGCTAAAGTTTATTGGATAGCTTTGGCAGTCTGACTCCTAATGCATGGTCTTTTGCAGGGAAATTGTGGATATTCATGAGAAAGAGAATGCCCTCGATATTGTGACAGGTGATCGGGTTTACCATATAGTGGCGGAATCACCAGAGGATGCCAGGTATGGGGTGAAACAAAAGTTGTATCTGTCTTTGAGACTTTTCCTCTGCAGATCCAACTCTTAGAAATACAAATTGTTTTTTTTTTGTGAAGCGATAAGATCCTCCTTGCAACCAATTCACAAGCTCCATTGAACTGGCATAGAAAATGTGTAATCTCTGCCAAAGTAGCACATAATTACAGACACTTCCACTTCTATCTGTTGCTATATTATGATTCAAGAGTCAGAACATTACTCGGAAGACTTAAAACCTGACAGTGAAAAATAGTAGTAATGTATGCTTACTATGTAAAGCTTTCATCATCTGAAGGTACTTAACTGTATTGTATCTGTTTGTGCCATATTATAGTTTAAATTGGATGATTTATTTAATGAAACCAATACATTAATGGCCTTTTTAGTCTTTGTGAATTGTATGTTCCATGCCACAGCTTTAGACTGTATTCAAACTAGCCCTTACTATTGGCTTTTCGTTAGCTGTGTTCCAGTCTAAAGTAATAATTTATCCTCCTTATCTTGTGTCAGATTATGAGAACAACATATGATACAATCTGCATTGAAAGAATCACATTAGGTCCTTCTAAAAGTTGTTACATAGCAGAACTGAGAAAGGCTTGTACCTAATATCTTGGAAAATCACCATCTGTCAGTAACAAATATCACAACAAGTATCACATTTTCTTTTTTCTTTTTCTGTTTGTTTCTAGTTTGTGATTTATTATGCATGATCGCATTCATTAGCCTTAATAGAAAGCAAAATCTGATAAATGTAATGGTTGAACTTAGAATAAGCTAGTACCTTACAAAGGTTCCATAGAAAACATACAGCTAGCATATAATAATTTATTAACTTTGTAGGAAACATTCAGGGGGAATAATTCCACATGATTTAAATAATGATCCATCTGCCTAATAAATTACATAAGCCTGGTATTGCTGGCCATCTAAAATGGATTCTGATTATTTATTATTTTATTTTGACAGTGACTGGTTTAATGTCCTAAGTCATGTGCATAGTGCCACAGAGCAACAGCTGAGAGAAATGCAAGATGAACAAGCCAATCCAAAGAATGCAGTGGTGAGCAACAATTAGGAGAACATAACACTGGAAAGATTATGTTGTCTTATGAATTCAATAGTTGGATATGTCTTAATGATATGGTTGCTGCTGATCAAAATGGTCTAATTGGCATCTCATAGAATCACTATAGAAGATCCAGTCCAAAACTGTAAACTAAAAGCCCTCATTAGTTGATGCCATTAATCGCAACAATAGGTACTATAGTCCAGCGCTGCCCCCTCTCCCCCCGGCCAATCTTTTGGTCAGGGACTGATTCCATGGAGAGAGGTTTTTCTGTGGACTGGAAGGGGTGTGGTTTCGCATGTATCCCACGGATGGGGCTTTGCTTATTTGCGTGATCTGTTTTTTTGGTAGGCTGTGGACCAGGAGTTGGGAACCCTTGCTTTAGGCCACCACAAATAGTGTAATATAGATTCTCTGGAAATTGATGATAGGTTCTTTTGTGCATCCTCTGCACTTGGAACAGAAGTGTGTTTGTATGGTCAGTCTGCTACTATGTATGGATGAAGAGGATATGTGGGGTTCCTAATATCCCATTTTGAGCTGAGACAGAGGCAAGGCACAGAGTGCTTAAATTTCAGTCATTTAAGAAGCCAACTAACTCCTAACCACCTTGGTCATTATTGGTTAATCTAAAACAAATTTGAGGAAAAAAGGCAGGAAAGAAAATATGAAGTTTTATAAGTATACCAGTTCTATATTTACTATTATAACTTCATGTTGTTATTTTAAAGGGAACCCTTGATGTTGGTCTTATTGATTCTGTCTGTGCATCTGATAATCCTGACAGGTAAGCTTTGTATTTAATTAGATTGTGATTGTTTTCTCATTGTTTTTTTCCCTTCTATAATTTTAACATTACTGGCAGCATTGCTATAGGGAAATATATTTAAATATTTAAATTCATGAACCACATATTTATATAAACTATAATTGCAACAAAGAGCTGCTTAAAGTGACTTCACCCATTTGTACTACCTTTCTAAGGGCATTGGTGTTTTTTTATGTGTAGTCATTGATGCCAAAACCTACTGCTCTCCTCTTAGTAATGTTTGGTAGCTGTAAGTTTACAGTTCTGCTATTAGGACTGTTTTATTCCTCAGCGGATTATTTTGAACAATTTGTATAGTGAGTAACCCCTCCAATACATGTGTTTGAGAAGCATATTTGCACAATTTCCCACCCTGGGGTGCAGTGGTGGGTTCCGGATCCCATTCCAACCATTGGAACTGGCCCGGCATCACCTACATGGACATGCGCGGTGTGCGCATACATCGTACCTACCTGCAATGCCTTAGCAAGCCTCCGTGATGCTCCAGCTGCTCAGTGGAGCGTCACGCAGGAGCCGTAGATGCCATGTGCTTGCGCAGAAGCACCAAAGGCTTAAAGGACAGGTAAGGAGCTCGGGTGGGCCCTCCGGAGCACCATACCGGAACGGTACCCGGTGCTCCGGGCAGGCTCCAGTACGCCCGTATAAGGGCGTACTGCCTGCAACCTACCACTGCTGGGGGTGGCTCCCCTCTTCTGCAGAGCAAAATAACATTGGTCTATAGTTTGACATTCTTTAAAAGCCTCTTACAGAAATAAAAGAGTCACTGCGAGTTGGGAGTTAATAAATAAAATAAATAATAAAATGTTACACACAGCAGGAAGCTAAGGCTCGTACTTGTACAATCATCCCATAGTGATGAGTGGCTTTTCTAGATGGAGTGAATTTTGAATCCTTCATCATAGGCACGTGGAGAGGACACTGTGGAGGAGGAGGAGGAGGAGGTCCATGTTGGTCTAAATGGCAAATATTGGTAGCATCTTTTGAAAAACAAAATTTGATACAAAAGGTGCTCCTGATTTTTTTACATCTTTGAAAAAAGCATAAACTCAAGATCAATAAAAATCAGCTTAGATTTGGATTTCAGAAAAATGTTATTTTAAATAATAGTGTTGATTATAATGATGCAACTAAATAAACTGAGATGTTTTGATGGTAGAGGCATACTTTTTATAATAGAGCTCTATGTTTAGCCCACAGTTAAACTGTATGGGCAAGGGAGAATCAATGCAAATGATCCTGGCCATGTGTTTTGGTCAAGACAATCCATTTTATTTGATTCTCTGAGAAGAATGTCTAAAAAGGAAGAAACCTGTGTTAAAGAGTGATTGCTATGTTAAGAACATAAAAACTAATGGGCTGGATCAGATGATTGGACTATCTCAACTTCCAGGTTTGTTCAGTCATTGTGGGAAGCCTAGTAGCAAGGCATGAGCTCAATATTAATATTAAATTCACATCTTATCTTTCCCAGTTTCTGGCATTTACAATATATATTTCCCCCAATAATGGACACAATATTAAATATACTTTTTTTTCAAAACACAAGATGGAAATTTGTATGTTTTCTTCCTAATTGTTTAGTCCAGGACTGTCAAAACTCGCGGCCCGCGGGCCAGATGCGTCATGCACTGGCCACGGCCACACCTGGTTTAGTGAAGGGAAAAAAGTTGCGATCATAATAATCATAATCTCTACTCTCAGACTTGGGAAGGAGAGCTATTCATTTCTTTTCCCAGGGAGTAAATTCTGTAAATGTTAAAGCTTTCCATGGCAAGGATGAGATGACGTACCTTCCTTCTACTTTGCAGGCCAAATTCCTTTGTCATCATCACGGCAAATAGAGTCATTCATTGCAACAGTGACATCCCTGAAGAGATGCACCACTGGATCTCTCTCCTACAGAAGCCCAAAGGCGAATCCAGGGTTGATGGGCAGGAATTTATTGTGAGAGGTAAAAAAAAAAAAAATGAAGTTGCAGAGATGACCAAGGCAGAAATAATCAGCTAAACCCTAAAGGTGCTTTTCCAAGAAGCAACAGGACTTTCTTCGTTTTTTTCTTTGAAAATATTTCACCTCTCATCCAAGAAGCTTCTTCAGTTTCTCCAGAACTGAAGAAACTTCTTGGGTGAGAAGCACAACATTTTAAATGGAAAAACAAACAAACGGGAAAATCCAGTTGCCTTTTGGAAAAGCACCTTTTGGACAACCATGACCTGGATGATTGAGAATCTCCATAGACAATCAGTTAAATCATTTCTTAGTGTGAAATGTTGAACTTCATGTTCAGAATTCCCAGCCAATGTAGGTGCTGGAGCTATAGTTCTCTTCTGGAGAGTCATTAAACATAGGAGAAGCTGAAAATGCCAACTATCAATTGAGAAATTATAAGGATTTTGCTCTTTTTATGCCCGGCAAAATGGGAAGATGAAACGTTCGGCTAGTAAAAGGATTATTTACAGTGCCGTTTTCAGCCACTCACTAGAATAATAACAACAGTTCAATCTTCTCACATACAGAAAGAGTAGCCCTGTCAGCAGCTGGGCACAAAGCGGTCCATGGCCAGGAGAATTGAGACAATATCTTGACTAGAAGAACAAGCTATTAAATTCTGAGCCAGGAATTCATTAGGTGGTCATCCGGCAACCTGCTGAAAGGCTCTACAGGGGGATTGTGAGGATTGCTATAAAGATACATGGCAGCTGTATATATGTTTGTATAAATAATATTGAACAAAACATGATAAACTTAATATAAAGCTCCCTCCCTTGGTTGTGTTTGGGTTGTTATTGTTTCTCATGGGTCATGGGCATTTTTTTGTTGAAATTTTATTTATTATTGATAGTTATTTAATAATCTGTGAAATTGCTCTGCTATTTTGAACTTTTTATTGAACAAATGTATCAGAAGCTGGATTGGAAAGTTGCATAAAAATTCTAATAAATAAATAAATAGTTCCTTAGTTTAAGAAAATGCAACTTTGTGGGGTGCAATTATATTAATACAATTCTCCTGTGCGCTGCTTGGGGAATCCAAACATGGGTTAACTTTGTCCATTAGCCCAGAGACTGTTATGCAAATTGATGGCCATGCCTCCTCTAACTGGACTGGTTCAGTTTTTTAACTCAGTCCAGCCTAAAGAGACGTAAAAACATTCTCTCTAGGTTATTAGACAAATTCATCATTATTATTATTCAACTTGGATTCCCTACAACTCTGTGCAACAGCTTGAGCTCCTTCCATGGAGCATTAGATATCTCTGCATATAGGTTCGTTTCCTTTTTGTTTAAGGTAGCAATTGGATGTTAGCATTCCGGGAGCCTTCGGGGCCAGGGAACTCTTCCTTGGAAGCGACGTTGCTTCGGTGATATTTGTTGGAAGGTCAGTTCGCCACCTTCGTTTGTCTTGCCACAGTTGGGGATCAGTTCGCCGCACTGGCCGCTCTACCCGCTGTTTCCCCGAGGTTGCCTTGCGACGCACGGAGCCTGGACGCCCCATCACCATATAGCTGGGTTCCCTGTCTTTACCTCGACCATCGAGTGCCTCAAAAAGCTGCGGTTGCTGGCAAGTTACGAGCCTGGGTTTCTCCATTCTGGCGGCGGCCATTTTCCTCACCAATTTGAATTTCCCGCGGCCGCTGTTAGTTGCAGCAGCCATTTTAGGGTCCATTTCGCATCGAAAAACAGTCTGTCTGGGCGCGGTTTCATTTTCCCACCCACAATGACGTAAAATCACCAGATTCATTGCTCCACGGAGGTCGGTTCACCACCATTCTACCGGAGCACGAGCTTGATCTCTTCCGGCCTCCTGCTTCGATTGTCATCGGCATTTGGTCTTTCATTGAATGTGAGCTTGAGCCCTTTCAGCCTAATTTAGCATGGCGGATTGTTCTACAACCGGGAGCAGCGCTGGGGCTTCCACCTCCCCTCCATTGTCCTCTGATTCCACAGTCATCAATTCGGAAACATGTATGGTGTCCCTCTCTCTCGATCTCAATCAGAGATCACCTTCCTTCAGTATTGTCCCAACTTCTAAGGAAGTTATCTTGCATAGATGTCCCTTAGGTTCCACACACGACCACTCCAGTGGTTTCTCCTCCCCTTTCAAAGGGCTCACACCAGTCACTCTCAGGCCAGGGCTCACTTACTGACCAAGGTGTTCCTGTCGCTCTGTTGGTGGATGTCAGCCCGCATCTTCAAGGGATGCCTCTTCAAAGAACCAGAGCGGATCATAGTTACAACAGATGCGAGCCAATTCGGGGGGGGGGAGCCCACGCCCTGGATCAAGTGGCGCAAGGTCATTGGATCGCCCAGGAGCTGAGGAACAGCATCAAATGGCTAGAGCTACGGGCTATCTGCCTAGCCTTCTGCGGTTTTGAGACCTGGTGACATCTAACCATGTGCTGATACTCACCAACAACATGGCCTCCAAAGCGCATGTCAACCGCCAGGAGGGCACGAGGTCCAAATCTGATGATGGAAGCAGAACGTCTGCACCACTGGGCAGAGAACCATCTGTTGTCAGTCCGAGCGGAACACATATCGGGCACTGTGAATGTCCAAGCGGATTGGTTAAGCAGGGCCACGGTGGATCAGGCGGAGTGGCGATTACACCCAGCCCTGTTCCAAGAGCTGTCCCGTCACTTCGGTCAACAGCAGATGGACCTGTTCGCTCAACCCGACAACACACACTTGCCGCGATTCTACACCAGGTTTCAGGTACCAGGGGCGGAAAGCATCGACGCCCTTCACAGCCCTTGGCCAGAGGGCCTCCTTTATGCCTTCCCGCCCCTGCCAATTGTACTGCTGGTCATCCAGAAGGTTCTAGCGGAACGGGCGGAGGTACTACTAGTTGCACCGATGTGGCCACGGCGTCCCTGGTATGCCGACCTCGTCCATCTGTCCATCTTGCGCCCATGGAGAATTCCGGACAACCGGATAGCCCTCTCGCAAGAAGCCCTCATCCATCCAAATCCACAGCTATTACAGTTAGCCATGTAGCACGTGAGCTGGCGATTCTGAGTCAACAGCATTTCTTTGACAAGGTCATCTCCACAATCCAGGTGGCTCACTGCCCGTCAACAATCTGCATCTACGAGGCTACCTGGCACACCTTCTGCAGATGTTGTCGAGCTACAGGTGCAGACCCAACCGAGGCAACCATACTGCAGGTATTAGACTTCCTACAGATTGGCATGGACAAGGTGCTAACACCTAACACCCTCCGCCATCAAATTGTGGCGGGGCCACCCCCTATCTCAACACCCAGGGTGCGGGCCTTCCTGAAGGGGGCATCGAATCTTAGTCCACTCATCATTCATTGCTATCCCACCAGGGACCTTTCCCTGGTGCTCAAAGCCCTTACAGCTGCTCCATTCGAGCCTATTTGGACCATCTCCCTCAGGTTACTGACTCTTAAGACTATCTTTTTAGTAGCCATT